AGGGTGATCCAGTGTCTCATTACGTCTGACAACAAGGAATTCCTTATAGTACTGTGTTTATAGGGTGATCCAGTGTCTCATTACGTCTGACAACAAGGAATTCCTTATACAGTACTGGACACGCGAAACCCGCACAATTCGCGTATTCGCGGCGAACTCTCATGCTTTATAACGCGAGCGAATTCGCGGCAACTTGAGACAATCGCCGCGAATTCAACTCGCGGCGATTTTGCCGTGAACATTTGCCGCGATTCGCGGGGAATAATACATGTTCATTTGTATAATAAATGTAGATCTATTTATAAGTGTAGTCTGTGAACTTGAAACCAGATATACATGTACAAGTACGAAAATTAATTAGTAGATCTACATGAAGTTGTATCAAGAAAATCTTGTAATTTGCTAAAATGCCCTTTCTCTATTTATCTTTGATGCCAACAGCAAATATAAATAACCACGGCGAAATCAAATAACACCGTTAAAAACTTTCCGTGAATGGCGGAATCATGATCTCAATGTATAAATGCGACGCAGTACAAGTATGCGGCTCCATCTGCAGGTAAATAGTGTGCATGTACACGTGTAAAACTATTTGGGGGGGGGTACATATTGAGTTTAAAGTAGAGATATAAATATAATATATGTGTAAAAAGATATTTAGTTACATAAAAAGATACATAATTGATACGACATTAACTTGTTCATTTCTAAATGTAGTGGATCACCGGACATTTCGTTCTCTCGGGTGATCATTACTCAATTTATTACACGTTTGTAAAAAATAACACACGCAAGATTTTGTCTGCTATAATTTCTGAATGGCGGATATTTGCACCCCTGTTTTAAAAATGTTAAAATATTTAATTGTTAGTTACCGCAAAAATTATCGCCGATTGTTGAAAATTCCATAGCGCTAAAAGACACAAAAACACTCGCGCAAAAAGAAGCATCCATAAATAAAAAGGAATATAATGTTTCCATTGTTAAATAATAAATACAAAATTTACACACGAAATGACCTCTGACAAATGACTGGTCGGCTCTTCTGAAGAATCTGTGAATCTTTGATGTTTACACACCTGTAGTTGTTGCCGAATCATCAAAGAAATGCCGACACTCGATTGACTTCCACCTCTCTTTTATATATCAGAAAAAAAACTGTCATTTTCTTTTTGTCAAGGAATGATTACACATGTTTAATTATTGCTCAAGTAAAAAAAATGTTGGATATTGATTGTGTCAATTATTGACATATTATTAAATCGTAAGTTAGCATTTTGATTGTGATATTTTATTTACATTTTAATGATCTTGAAGATATTGTGCAATACTTGTGTCTGCTATCAAAACAATAATGCATATGAAAGGATATTTTTTTCGGTCAATTTTATGACCACGCTTCTACCAGAAAATGTTTTTATTGCATGGGCTTATAGTATTTAATCAGTGTCGTCAGTCATAAACAAACGAACATGTACCCAAAGCACATTAAAATTTACCACATGGTAAACTAGTGACCATATAAATGCTTTACAAATATTCATTAATTTGAAAAAAAAAATTTTAATCCCGTTTCCACACCTTAATTTGATACGTGCTATTATTAGTTAATTCAACTTAATTGCCGCGCGCATGCAGTACTGCGTGACGTAAGGAAAATATCCTTCCCTGGTTGGTCGCTATTTATGTAAATACTTTAAATAGTAACACCCTAATTTTATGCACAGAATGCCCTCATGAATGATCACTCGTTACTTTACATATTAAATGTGTGATTTAACTCCGATTTTATTTTTGTTTTTGAGGGAATTTTTTGGGTCAAATGCCCTGGCTGATTTGGCGGGAATAAAAAAAAAATCTGATTTGCATCTTGCTAACTTCATCACCTACTCATGCACCTGGCATTTTTTTACTCGTGAAATTGAAGGTAAAGAATGTCAATTTAAGTGATAAAACTTTTACAATTTTCAAACAATCATAATTAGCGTATTAGACGTAATAATTAGTTACACCTGTGAATCGGTGCTAAATGTCGCTTTGCATTGTTCTAAAAATAGAATATGTGCGAAAGTAAACAATGGATTTTAATTACATTGTATTATTATCAAAATAACAATTGGACAATTTGTTATCGTGCGTTCTTTGATGTAGTACCAATTACCTTTTGTAATTTCCAATCTCGTTTTATTGTTAACTAATTTTCACCAGCACCTGATTTTGCTTTGTTTTAATATACAAAATGTATACGCTGTACATGTTCAAATGCTAAATATTTATAAATATACAAGACGTTTACAAGATTTTTTTAAAGTTTTTTCAAAATTAAAGACCACGGGAATTAAGGACCAAGTAGTACTTTCTAATACAATTATTGCTGAAGATTCGCCGTAAATTACGGCGATACATCGCGGCGATTTTTCGTGACCCGCCACGAAATTCGGCGAACTTGCACGCGGCGATGTTTTACCGCGAAGTGTCCCGTCGCGACATAGACTACACTCGCGGCATAACGCGACTTTTGCGGGTTTCGCGTGTCCAGTACTGTAGTACCGTGTTTATAGGGTGATCCAGTGTCTCATTACGTCTGACAACAAGGAATTCCTTATAGTACCGTGTTTATAGGGTGATCCAGTGTCTCATTAAGTCTGACAGCAAGGAATTCCTTATAGTACTGTGTTTATAAACATGGTCAGCAACTAGTATAATATTGACTGATAATGATAATATACTCGGTAAATGTCAGTACAAAAATAATTTTAACAAATTTACAAAATGTAAATATTAGAGTATTTTGTCAGAAACTTGTGACAAACAGTGTTAATATCATACAGACAGCCAGGATATTGCAGCAGGATATTAACATAGGAATTCTATTATTCTGTTGAAATGAATATTGTTCTTTGCAACTATACATGCACTTCTAACATGGATAATTGGGCAAAAAGACAGAAATAATGCAATAGGCTTCATATGAACTTATAAGTCAAGTTGAATATACAAGTGCCGTCCATGTGGTCACTAAGCAATTCTACAAGAACATTGTATCAAATAATGTAAAGTTTTACTACAGGTCCATTTAGCTTCACTTGTTATTTTTCTTCTTAGTTTATATTAAAGCATCTGGCTCATACATCTATCTTCAGTCCTTGTGAAGTGTTATTTCCAAGACTCAAGAAAATGCTTTCTAAAATGTAATTTGTGTCATAAAATTTACTTGCAATGTGATTGTGTTTGAGAACTGAGTAAAAATGTTACAAAATGTTTTGGTTTAGAATTTATTAAGCAACAATTCTAAGCCAAATGACACTACTAATTGTAGGACCCTCATATGAGCATTGACAGATCATAGAGCAATTCTGTTAAAATGATAATTTGATCTTTCAAATGTTGATAATTACAAAATCACATAATAACAATGTAAACTTAGCAATATATAATTTGAATGATAATTATAGCATCATTATCACCATAATGTATTGTAAAATTGTAATGTGTTTTAATCAAAGTAATATGAAGTTTTAAGAGGAAATGGTCATCATGGAATTTTATATACATCAAGTTGTTGTGGTATATCATGTACACAGTATTGTTTATGTTTGTTTTAAACACTGCTGATAGAAGTCTTGTTGATAAAGGTATCAAAGATTATTTATGAATGGAATTAATTACTTCATATGTGCTATTTTATATGTAACTTAGTCTTGCTTATGGCCTTGTTTCAAAGACACAGGTTTTTTAAAATGTGCTATTTTATATGTAACTTAGTCTTGCTTATGGCCTTGTTTCAAAGACACAGGTTTTTTAAAATTTTATACACTGTATAAAGAATAATGTGTTGTAATAGACAATATGATATAGAAAAAGCCTAGACAAGGTGGAATATAGTAATTATAGATCATCTGTGATCATCTATATAAACATATATAAAGATAAACACTCTCTCATCAGGATGCAACAAAGAACAGTTATGATCCATATGTATTCTTTATAAGTTTTCCAGATCAACAATCAAACATAATAAACTGGTTTAATATTACAATTTGGATAGTTCTTATATTACCACAAATAATCATTTTAACTGTGTGACCACTGTATATCTAGGACTATTTCTTTAACCAATATGATTATAGGTTAACTGCTAATTAAAGTAGGAAATTGAATACACACACATATATACATTGTATATATTAATTTCAGATCATTAGAAATGTTTTCAGTTCCCATTCAGAATTTTGAACAATCACCACAAATATAAACAATCATGTCAGTACATATATTGGGTATTAAATCAACATAAAGTTTATGTTCTGTAGATTTAATTACTTACTGGCATGAAATCTGGCTTAAATATCTATTATACCCTTATACAATACTATATAACTAACAGCTTGACTTTTTAGTTACTAAAGTTAAGAAAAAGTTTTTTCATGGTTAAACTTGCGTTTTTCCTTTTATATACAGGTATCATATAATGCAGTAAATATCAGTTATTCATAAAATATCTATATTTATATTATAATCCCAATTCAAGCCGTTTTTAGCCTTGTTTAAGTAATTCACTTAAAACAAGTGTTAAGAAATTTTATTTTTATTTTATGGGTGAATTTATGAGAAATGATTTCAAGAGAGATGATTCTAGCATCAACATTTCAAGGGTGAATTTATAAAAATGGTCAGTTTAGTCTTTGAAAGAAAAGATACTAGATATCTATTATTCATTATTATTTATTCAACTTTCGACATTACCTGTTACAAAGTTAAATACCTTAAACAGACTTGTTCAGCTTTCAATCTGGACTAAACTATTCATCCTTTTTAGGGATGTACTGCCTGAATAGCAAACAGTTCAGACCAAGGATGTGCTGGCCAATCTTGGTCTACCCTGGTCTAATAGGTAGAATCTGTTGCAGCTAGCAGGCTTAAAGGCTATGTAAATGATTTGAGATAATACTTTCATGTGAAGATTGACATCATTCTCTAATAATAAAGGAAATACTTACAAATAGTTCCCTAGCAGGTTCACTCATGGCTGAAGATGACCTTATTTTCCCATCTGCTGATATTCCTTTTATTGTCAAGGGAGACAGTCCTTCCATTTCTTCACCTTGTCCTAAAGGTCCAGGGGTCAAAGATTGACCTTGACCTCCTGGACCAGGAGTCACTGATTGACTCAGGGGTCCAGGGGTAACAGCAGGGGAAGCCAATAAGTTATTTAAATGCATATTAAGCTCATCAAATTTAAGTTCACTAGTTGTAGATACAGATCTACTAACAGCTCGACTTGAGGTTTGGCTCTGCATTTGTTGTATTTCTGACATTAATTCATTAAATTCCAGCTCATTGAATTCATCATCTGATTCTCCACAGTGTTCACTTAATGCTTGTTCAGCTTTCTTTAACTTCTCTAAATTTCCTAAAGCAAGCTTTTTAGACTCACCAAGAATACGTCTTAATTCAGCATCATATTCATCTTTTATTTTAGTAAATTCTTTATCTTTCTTAGCCTCTTCTGCAATTTTTTTCTTATATTCTTCTTCTAACCTTTCTTTTTCTTTTCTTAATTTTTCCATTTCTTCATTCATTTGTTTTTCCTTCTCTTGTACTATAAATTTTTCATTATCTAATGCATACTTTATGGCACTTTCTTTTTCGCTTCTATATTTTTTCTTAAGTTCTTTCATTTCATCTTCCTTGTATTTTAGCACCTCTTTCATTTCTTTATCCTTTTCTTCCATTATCAAAGTCCTCAAGTCCTCTTCCATGTGTCTTTTTTCCTTTTCCAATCTTTTCTTCATTTTATGCTCTAGTTCATTAATTTCAGAATGTTTTTTAACTTCATAAGATTCCCTCAATTCCCTGAGTTCTGTTGACTTTTCTTTGTGAACTTTCTTGTTTTTAGCCTTTTCCAAATCTAACTCACTTTTGAGACGTGCAATTTTACGTCTGTAGTCATCTGAGGAATACTTGTGTTCTTTATCCCGTTTACGACCTTCTGACTTTGAGCTGAAAGTACTGGTTGGAGTTGATGCTCGACTGATATCATTGAAGTCAAACTCATAGTCATTGTCCTTTTGTATTTCACGTGGGTATCTGTGACTGGAAGAAGTGGTCTTCCGATGTCTTGATCTTTCTCTTTCTTGGACCTCCATGGCCTAAAATATCAGCTTGTCAATTACGTACAGTCACATTCTACCATGGCACCTGAAATGTAAAAGGGAAAAGGTATGCTTGTTTTAATATCAGTTATCTTTTAATTATTATGTTTTTATGGAATATTTTTCTCTGATTTAAATAAGCTATGAATAAGCCCCAACCATAAAATTGTGAACATTAAATTTAAGTAAAGCAAACCAATAGAAAAGTAAATTTAAAGCATATAAAGTCCTGATAAATATACATGTATGTTTTATCTTAAATGTTTGAATATGCTAGAAATATTACTACCTCATTTAACAATTATGGGGTGAAACTATTACCTGTTGTTAATTCATTGTTAAAATAATAATAATGTATAATTAAAACATTCCAAACTAGTTATTACAACATGACCATGCCTGTATTTCATTACAAGTTTAACAATCAAATGTAGCAATTGAACTAGATTTCATTAATATTTGAAAAATTTACATTACATTCACATTTATTCATCCATGAAGATGCTTAACAACACTTTGAGCTATTGACTCATAAAAAAACGATAAAACTTAATGTAATAATAATTATATGAGAAATATATCTGATTTCATATTATCAACCATGTTCTCAACCATGTCATCATATTTCAGTGGTTAAGACAAAGTTTTTCTCAAAATTGCTAAATTATAAACTGTCAACACAAAAACAATGACTCCTTAAATTAATATGCTAGGATAATAATGCTTCCAAAGTTGCAAAAAGGAATACAAGGTAAAAAAAGTGAGATTTTGTCTAAATATAATTAATTTCTTTAGCCTAAATGATAGCTTAACTGTTCCAATTAAACATTTTAAAATTACTTTTTTCTTTCTTGGGTTTTAAAATACATAAATTAATTTTTGCTGGATTCTGTTGCTCCTACATGATTGTGTGGTAAACAAGAAATGATGTAAAAGTTTAATTACAACCCTGATCTCTAAAGTCAGGTGAATACTTGCTGTATCTCTACCATATGTTAACTGTGTTATCCAGGGTGCTGGTCAGTACTTCAGCCAGCATAGCCTAAGCTATGGATGGTATGGTAATCTTAATATTGGTTGAATGTCGAGACTGACAGATTATAATTCAATTACTGACTGACCCATTTTGACAGTTTAAAGGGATGACCAAATGACGATTCATATTCACATTTTCATCATATTAATATATGAGTAGTTGATAAAGTTATATCAAAATGACTGCCCAACAGTAAAGGAGATGTTGTTTAAAGCTTATTTCTAACTTATAATCTCTGGTGGCAAATGAAGCAAGTAAACCAATATAATTTATGCAACATTAAAAGAACCAACCAAGGATCATTTCTATAGAGTTACCATCAAAGTCTGCCAGGAGATGTTTTAAATATAGCTTATTTCTATTTTTAGATCTGGCAGCTATTGAGAGTTGTACAACCAAACAGAAATAAATTTTATAAAAAACTAAACCTGAATGATTTTAATATATTTTGTAAAATACCAATTAAATCTACCTAGCGGTTATGGAGGAAATATTTTTATCAATTATATATATTTAGGTATGTTGGCTATCATGTTCAGCACATCAAAAAAAAATGGTGATACCATCCATGGTTCTTTTAAAAAATGGGGGTTTAAAGTATAGCAAAGGAAAACCTTTTTCATTTTAATTTATCACTTTCAAATGTACATTTTAAATAAATTTAAAAAATTGGAAAGTCTAAAAGCCCAAAGAAATTTTATGAATGATTAAAAGGGCCAGATATTTTGCGGGGCCCAAGAATAAAAGAGGGGCAACCCTCATTTTTATTTTAACATTATTTATATTTAAAATTTTTGTAAAAAGAATGACACAAAATTTGATTAAAGCCTCCTAAACGACAGTTAACTAGCACTAGCATTTTGTTACGACCCAAATAGCTCAAAACTACAATTCCTACATGTACTTTTGTTGTGTATTCTTAAGTCAGTACTAAGTTACTAACACTGTTAATATGTTAGATGGCAACTTTTAAGGTATTAATTAAATTTCAACCTCAATAATAGGCACTACATTGTAACATATTTATAAAAAATTTCTATATACATTGTATTTTTGGTTGGGTATCACGTTGCATCAACACAGTATTATCATATTGCAACTTTCAAACATAACTGGTGAAGGAAGACCTCAGGTGCCCTCTGTCCCTTTAAATTTAAAGGCCCCAAATAAAAGGCCCCCTGAGTAGACCCCCGGGGACCAACATTCTTTTTTATGAAAACCCTTTCTCAAAAGTTTTTAAAAAATTTTAAAGGGGACTTTGGGTTGAAAGATAAACCTAAAACAGTGAAAGGGAAAAGTGGTTTGAAGTCAATGACCTTAACCAGTTGGCTGTAGACGAACCACATATCAATTTGAAACATAAGATACATGTATATAATTTGTGACTTATCATATAATCTCTCAACAAGGTCATTTACTATATATACTGATGGAAGAGATAACTACAAGACCTGCACATGTACATTTATAGATCTATTAGCTAAAAAGCTCTAGATCGGACAATTAAATCTTGAATTTAAGGACCTGTTTCACTTCTTTTTTTTTCAATTTTGTAAAATTGTTTTTCACATTATTCATTCAAAAAAAGTCACTGCTATGATACATTGTATACAGCTTGTTATGAAACGGAAAGCCACAAAATTCAATGAATGGTTACTAGATTAAATGGCCTGGTGTAACGTTGATGTCAGTATGTCAGCTCATTTTCCTACTTTTTATTTCATGTTAATCAAAAAAACTATAACAAATGCATTACAATGCCGTAACAGCATTTTCAACAAGTTTATTTAGGTGGGTCAGATGTGTAGATATACACAATATGATTAGAATGTTTGAAAATGAGAAAATCTGATTCAAATATTTTTAGTATGCTGCAAAAATAATTTTACAATTCTAATTTATCTTGTAAACAAATGTTAATTGAAACGTAAATATTCCATTTTAAAAGATCAAAATAATTCATCAGAGTTGATAATGTATAAAATAAACAATCATTCTACAGTGTTCTACTGGAGTCAGATACTCTCCATTGTGTGAGGTTTAGAAAGGTACGAGAGCGTGCTTGGCTACGAGAATTTTCACCATGCATTCAATAAAAATTGAATTAATAGTATGTACATATACAATCAAGAACGGCGTATTATCAAATGATTGTTTACATTATCATTGATTTAAAATAAACAAGCACATGCAAGAAATATTTTGATCCTATTATCCTATAAAATTTGACAGAGTACGCACCTGTCAAAAAATTACCTGACTTAATTATCATCTTAACAAATTGTTATCTAGGACGAGATGCGACATAATTCCATGATATATCCACTTTAAATATTTTGCTTAATCGATTTCGAAAATAAATAGAGAATGACACAAAACACAGAACGTTGTTTATTTCAATATTTCACCTATACACACGGATTGACAGATCACCTGGGCGCTTGGCCAACTTTTCATTCATGGTCACGTGACGAGCACCTGCATTCTATTATTGGAATGTAATTAAAGCGGGAGAATTTGAAAGTTATTATTAATATTTTGGTTTGGAAATGGAGTGTTCAGTACTTATAGTAACATTAGCCTCTGGGATTTATTGGTTGACTTTTATTCAGGTTAAACACAACAAATTCCTTTCAAATACATCTTTATACATAGATCGCAGGGGCGTAACTAGGCGTACTCCTGTACGCCCGTGCGTACAAATCAATCCTGTATTCCAAAAAATCACAAGCGCTAAAAGTTCTAAAAAAGTGATAAAAACAGAGAGGGTGATGTGATCGGAGCACATATATTCGTAAAGGCCTACTGGCTCTTTCGATTTAAGCATTATATAAAAACTTCAAAGCATTTATAGCAAAAATGAATATCTTTTATTTGATCTATGTTGCGATATCTTATACAGTTTCGGCGGATGAAAGTTACGAAAAGCTTAAGGTGCCTGGTTCAGGACCCATTCATGGCCGAGAAATTCGCCGAGCATTGGCGGCATGACCAGGTCGCCAGCAGTATTTTTTTACCCAAACTTTTTACTCTTTATTTCCCGTATCGGCCCTTTTGTGTCGTCTTCTGCTTTTGGTTTGGGGGGCCCTTTTGGGATTTTTAATTAAATTTTATTTCTGAAGAGAAATAGGGGAGCAGAAGGCAAATTTAAAAAAGTTTTTTCAGTTCCATCTCAAAAATTTTAAAGGGATTTATTTTTAAAAAAATCCCCCGTCTTTGCGGTCAGCAGAACATTGCGATGAGTCATCACGCAAGTTCCGTGCGCAGTTACATCATCATTAAAGTGACATAGCTGCTTATGAAATTACTTTATCACAAAGAATTTTTAAAAAGAAAACCTTTTAAAGTTTTTAAAAGTGGGGTTTTTATATTTTAAAAATCCTATAATCTAAAGTTATACGCCCAAAGGGTTTTTTTTTTCAATTTTTTCTTTGCATTTCTAAAAGGAAAATTTTTTAAAAAATTTCCCTTTTCCCTCCAAAATAACGGGGGTAATTTTGATATATTGTAGTGTAATGAATTTTTTAACAGGCCAAAACACTCACTGAATTAACTTAGTCACAATTTTCACACTATTATCACTCTTAAAATAATATATTGTTACAACAGTTGCAACCTATGAAGGTTTTTCCTGAGAGAGCATTGGTGCATTGTACCTCGCATTTAACGCAAGCTTTAATGTGAATAAACCCATCTTTGAACGAGCGTATGTGGTAGACTAACGTAAACTTGACAATTGCCGTCCAGCGGCCCTGGTTTTTCTATAAAGGAAGCAAGGCTCTGTACCCAAACGTGAGGCCTTGTTTGGTGGTTTAAATGGTCATGCCATTGTCAACAGCAACCCTAAACCCTGAACTAAAGTGTCAGAAGTACGCACAATGGAGACTGAGCGAATGTCTGGTGCAGGCCTCATAAATGTGTATAAAGATAGGGTAGTAAATGCCGAAAAGACAAGTTTGCATACCAACGAAGCAGACGTCTAGCGTTTGTTTGTCTGTTGTTTATGTAATTAAAAAATAACTGAATACGGGAAATGTGTTGTTATAAAATCAGTTTGGAGGTAGCAAAATAACAAAGTTTTGTTGCAAAAAAATCGATTATATATATATATATATAAAATTTATGGTAGGGCCTATATGTAACTACTTGTTCATTTCACATATTTTAAAGTTAATAAAAGAGTTTGAAATCATCACCAATATGTTGTTAATATTTAGCCTCTAGATAGTCACGAAATGACAGGATATCGCTTCCTCTTTCAAAAATGTTCTCGGGGGAGCATGCCCCCGAACCCCCCTATTTAAAGAGTACATATCAAAATAGCTCAGTTACGCCCCTGGATCGTAAAGTAAAAAGGCCTATGTTACAATTAGTAGCCGAGTACTTTGATGTTTTGTTACAAATAGCTCCAAAATGACACTTAAAAATCGGTTGAGACATTGGGAGCTGGATTGGATTGGGAAATGGAATTTAACCCATCCAGGTGTCAAGTTATCCCCGTCACAATCTCAGATAACCTTACAACGGATGCTCCCATAAACAGGGTATCCCAGAGAGCAAGCCATCTTAAGGGCTCCTACGCAGGAACATAAAGGTAATATCACAATCTAGTAAGTCCATAATTTACCAAAATAGATCTAGCCAAACGCAGAGATCGCAAATGTTTGATCAAGCTAGATTATAACCAGACCTCGAGCGTCCCTAAACTTCAAAAGACTAGAACATTTTTATCTTTTTTTCATTTATCGTTATTCATGTCTATATCCCATGACATTATTGGGAGATAGATACCGAAAATGTGCCATTTGCGCTAAATACGCTGTAACTGGGCTTTTAGTACCAGAGGAAATGGCTTACAATTTTATCAATAATGACAGAGATACAAAATTGAAATTCATTTTGTACGTCCACGTATAATTTTCTGTATCTGACAATTCATCCCTCCGTCTGTCCGCACGTCCGTCTGTTGGCAATTTTGTGCTTTTGAAACGATTAAAGGAAATTGTAATTACTTGGTCCGTGTAGAGCTCAATATATAACACTTAGTCATGCATTATATATGAACTATTTGGCTGAAATATTAATAGTCATAATACGATGTGCAGAACGCATTTTTTGGGCTTCCTCGGATCAAAATTGGCCCCGACTTTTATATAAGAAAACAGTTAAAGTCCCAATGTTTGAAAGTACATTGCTCAAATTTAAGATATTTATATAAAGTGTCTTCTCTCTACTGCCCGGTACGTGCACGTTGTAGAGAAGAAACAGGGCATAGGCAGAAGATTTGAAGAACTTAAAGTTGTCTTCATATTTCGGATTCTTAAATAGTTAAATGGATTTTTTCGAACATTGTTTTCTGTATAAATAAGCGTGGAATAAAAATCAAGAGCTGAGTACTTTTTATCTATTCCGACATTTCTAATGTGTAACTTTCACGTCTTTATCATTGTTTTTATTATGTAAATTTATAACAAGTCTTGGTCTCCATTTTCTAAGTTTTGTGTTGTTTCCTTTTTTCTTTTTGCTTTGTATTTTTAGGATCAAAGTAAAGATGTTCTGGCTTTGCTGCGTTTCTGTTTCGTTTCATTATATTTATATTGTATTTGTATGACTTGTTATAATTATCTTTCTTATTCTGACTAGAAAAGCTGTGCCTACTTATTATACTATGTCTCAAGTTATGCAAAACTAAATAAAGTAACATGTTTTATTTTACCAAATGATATCGATATAAACAAATATTTTATTGTACAAATAGATATCAATATAAACAAATATTTTATTGTACAAATATATATCGATATAAACATATATTGTATTGTACAAAAAGATATCGATATAAACATATATTTTATTGTACAAAAAAGATATCGATATAAACATATATTTTATTGTACAAATAGATATCGATATAAACAAATATTTTATTGTACAAATAGATATCGATATAAACATATATTTTATTGTACAAATATATATCGATATAAACATATATTGTATTGTACAAAAAGATATCGATATAAACATATATTTTATTGTACAAATAGATATCGATATAAACATATATTTTATTGTACAAAAAGATATCGATATAAACATATATTTATTGTACAAACAGATATCATTATCGACATGTACAAATAGATATCGATATAAACATATATTTTATTGTACAAAAAGATGTCGATATAAACATATATTTATTGTACAAATAAATATCGATATAAACATATCTTTTACTATATCAATAGATACCGATATAAACTTATACTTTATTATCCAAATAGATATCGATATAAACATATATTTTATTGTAAAAATAGAAATCGATATAAACATATATTTTATTGTGCAAGTAGATATCGATATAAACATATTTTTTTCTACATAAATAGATACCGATATAAACATATACTTTATTATCCAAATAGATATTGATATAAACATAAATTTTATTGTACAAATAGATATTGATATAATGTTAGTAATTATTTTTAAAATAGAATGCCATTACAGCTGTATCTTTCAATTTTATTTACTTCAAAATATTCATGTATTGGTTCATATACTGTATTGCTCCTTTAAATTTTTTCTTCTTTGTAATTTCATGAAAAACATATGAAAAATTTCTCTTTGATGTCTACGGCCTGAGGGCTATATTTTTGGTACTGCTAGACAGACAGTGATTTACCTTCAAAATAGTGTCAAACGTGCAAACATTATGTCACGTGATTATTTTCTCTTTTGATTAAAAATAAAATTAAGTGGGTTTCTTATAAAGATATATATTTTATAGTTTTTTTCTTTATAAAATCACTACACATAGAAAACATAGATTAAGGGACAGTAAAAACAATGTATAGCCATTCTTAAAACAAGTATAATGTGAATATTAAAGATAACTTCTCAGCACATATTACGTGTTCTGCAGACTAATCTCCCTTATGCATTTACAAACGAAAAATTTTTTTTTATGTTATACACCTTTCATTATTGTAATCTCCCTTATGCATTTACAAACGAAAAAAAATAATTTTATGTTATACACCTTTTATTATTGTGCATTATTGTCATGAAACTAATACAGTGCTTATATTTTGACTAAAGAATGAGGGTGTTAAATTCTAGTCGATCTTTAAACAAAATTGTACATATCTAATTTAGGTTTCCGATGTATTTTCTCGTGCATAATATAAAATTCACGTTTCTAATGTCACTTTAAGACACGTAAAGATGTTATATACAAACCTTTTCACTTCATACTTATAAAAATGATGCTGTACAATGTATATTATGAGGTTTATACATTGTTGAGTAAAAAATTCTATTGGACGATCTTTCAAAATTAAATTAGATGATGCGCTAATGACATTTTTATTTCACATCACAATATTTGACATTTTGAACTTTGTTACTTCAGTTACAATAAAGATTTGATATGGATTTTTGACTCCTAAAAATAAAATCGAGGTAAGATGGAGTATGATATGCATTTGATAAAGATAAATGGACTTTAAAAATGAAATGAGGTCATATGGGTTGTGATATGGCTTTGACATTAACCTTTTGTACTATGAAAATGAAAAAGAGACTAAATTGCTAAGATTGGATCAAGTAATGATTTCTATTGGAACCTTACATGGTACAAACGCTGAAAGGACATTGATTGTATTTTATAAGGTGTGAAATAAAAGGTTTTACAAAAACCTTGAAGAGTTAAAAGATAATAATATATATTTTATGTAAATATATCTCACTTTTTATTTACTTGTAATATTCTTTCATATTATTTACATAATTATGTTTCTTTACAAATATCTTATTCTATATATGCAATTGTTACTTCTATCATTAAATATGTGTAATAGATGTACTTTTTAGGTTACTCTATCTAATATTTCAGCAGAGTTGACTTTAACATATAAATTTATATTCATCAGCAATACTTATATAATATTTTTTACAAAATAATTTAAAACACGTGTATCTAAAGTACTTTTGAAACCGTTTTGAATGGCAGTGATTGCTGTCCGCGATGCCAAATGTAGCAATTGACTATTTCGAAGTGATATATTATCTATTGGGCTTTCGTCCGTTCCCCGAATAAGAATAAAGTTGAATGTACAACTGAAGACAACTTCTAAAATGCTCAATCCTAGTTCAACCGACAAAGTTATGTAAATGTCAAAATGTTCCATACCAAAATGTTTATATTTGTACAATCATCCATAATCACCTTTAACTTTATGTAATGATTTTGTTTTATTTCCATCTTTTACAATAACTGGTTTAAGTGTCGTCGATGTCGTTATTTTGGACGTTGAAGTAGCGTTCGTTGTTTCGTGCTCACCATTGACACGCACGTATGATGTTTTATTTTGAATGGCACCTGCTTTCTGTAGATTAATGGCGCTTTCAAAATTAATGGAATTCAGAATCAGCCCATCTTCGTCTATCATGACTGAAATAAACAGATAAACTTGAAACGATAAAAACGACAGGGCTCCACGATCACACATACAAATACGCACATATACACAAAATCTAGATTAGGTCTAAAAATGTTCATTGTGTAACGTTGGACCATTCGATTTTGTGTGGCTTATACAAGGCCATAAAGTGACTATACTAAAAGTGATGGAATATTTATGATGATTTGTCATGTTTTTATCATGATAACTGCAATATTCTAACAGTTACCAGAAGAATTAATTAATTAAATCAATGTGTCAGATCACCCACGAATAAAGAATTTTGTAATATTGTAATTGAGAATCGTCTTCTGTTTCGGTGTCAGTGTCACTAATGATCAAAAATTTTAGATGACAATTATTTACATAAATTCACGAATGATCCGTGGTCAGAATCCATGCCTTCCTGTGATTATTTTTTTCCTTTATTTTTAAATATGATATACTTTTCTAACTTGTATAGGTTGAGGCCGGTCGATATTTATTTAGTCTCTGGCAATGAGTCAATCAACTGATAAAATCTGGTGTTTGTTCGAGTAAAATAGAAACAATAGTGACATTGACCGTTAATGTATCAATCATAAACAACACGGTCTAAATAAAACAATGCACACTGAACAGAGGAATGTACGCACCGCCTACTATACAGGGCTATATGTTACTGTACAGCTTAGCAGCATTTAAATAAAAATAATCAGAAAAACTTACAAATAAATATTATCCCAATGGCAATGAGAGCTACGCTTGAGTATTTCAGTATTCGGATGCATGGTCTTGGTAATAATAAGTTTAGCGGCATAACGTCTGTATCACACCTTGTCTGTCACTGCCCACAGCGGACCTTTAATGTATATAAACTTATATCGTCACAATATTTATAAACGTATCTGCTACAAGAAAATATTCCATACGGTCAGTGTAAGCTTATGGTTCAAGATGATAGCTAATAATTCCTGGTGATAGCTGATAATTACATGTGATAGCTGATGGTGCCCAGTGATAGCTGATTGACTACGGTGATAGCTGATGGTCCCCGGTGATAGCTGACGGACCACGGTGATAGCTGATCGTCCCCGGTGATAGCTGATGGACCACGGTGAAAGCTGATGGACCACGATGATAGCTGATGGACCACGGTGATAGCTGACAGTCCCCGGTGATAGCTGATGGTCCCCAGTGATAGCTGATGGTCACCAGTGATAGCTGATGGTCGCCGGTGATGTAGCTTATGGTCCCCGGTAATAGCTGATGGTCCCCGGTGATAGCTGATAGTCCCCGGTGATAGCTGATGGTCTGTCGGTGATAGCTGATGGTTGCCGGTGATAGCTGATGGTCCCCGGTGATAGCTGATGGACCACGGTGATAGCTTATGGTCGCCTGTGATAGCTGATGGTCCCCGGTAATAGCTGATGGTCGCCTGTGATAGCTGATGGTTGCCGGTGATAGCTGATGGTCGTCGGTGATAGCTGATGGTTGCCGGTGATAGCTGATGGTCCCCTGTGATATATGATGGTCCCCGGTGATAGCTGATGGTCGCCGGTGATAGCTTATGGTTGCCGGTGATAGCTGATGGTCGCCGGTGATAACTATGGTCGCCGTTGATAGCTGATAGTCCCCGATGATAGGATGGTCCCGGTGATAGCTGATGGTCCCCGGTGATAGCTGATGGTCGCCGGTGATAGCTGATGGTCCCCGGTGACAGCTGATGGTCGCCGGTGATAACAGATGGTCCCCGGTGATACCTGATGGTCACCGGTGATAACTATGGTCGCCGTTGATAGCTGATAGTCCCGATGATAGCTGATGGTCCCAGTGATAGCTGATGGTCCCCGGTGATAGCTGATGGTCGGTCCGTGATAGCTGATAGTCCCCGATGATAGCTGATGGTCCCGGTGATAGCTGATGGTCCCCGGTGATAGCTATGGTCGCCGTTGATAGCTGATGGTCACTGGTAATAGCTGATGGTCCCCGGTGATAGCTGATGGTCCCCGGTGATAGCTGATGATTCCGGTGACAGGAGACGATCCTATAGTAGTTGTTGGTTCAAAATAGAAGTTTTTTCCCAAAAATGTTAGTTTTTTTCAGAACTGGAAAGAAGAAAACCGGAAAGAACGAGCAGGAAACTTATCTGGATAACATTTTATGAAACACAAGCAATACCAGTGACCACACTACAAAATCAAGTGCGACATTAATAACAGAAAACAAAATTATTGATCTAATCCGTAGTAACATTTACATGTTCTTTTCTTGTACATACATTTCAGTTTTATTTTCTTCCACATATGATAAAATATATATTCCATCTGATCAGTTTTATATTATTGGTACGTAATTTATTTCATTTATTTAAACTGTAAAGTTACGTCTCATTTTAATTGCTTTAGATAGGCCTTCGGGGTATAAGATCAGAAAATACTAATTTATTTGAGATATCTCGATAACTGATTCATATAGAGGCACGTGACCACGTCGTTGTATTTATATACAAAATATACTAAATGGAAAAAGAAACTTAAATGAAGTACGTGCACAAGGCTACCCTTACGACGTGCACATATTTGTAATGCGGTCATTTTTAAAACCGATTTTGCATGATCCGGTGATCAAAGTCTTGACGGCATATTCAAAACGAAATTCGAGTTTCATGTACAAATTAGGAATGGACAAGTGGTGGAATTGTGTGTCCGCCGATATATTGCTAAAGTCGTTAACCTACTGGAGCAAATCAAAAATATTTTAAAATGAAGAATATTATTAGAAACTTAATTGCCAATACTTCAGAAAAACCTACGCCAGAGAGACGTGGGCATGGTAAAGGCTTGGGCTCAAATTACGGAGATAGCAGCTTGTTTTGGTGCATCCGTGCAGTGTGTCAGTAGTCTTCGACAGCGATTTCCTCGGACCGGTAGTACAAGCTTTGAAGGAACTTAAACCACGGAGCGGCAGGGCATGCGTCACGACCTGATCCCAAGACCTTTATAGTTTGACCCAACCAACACGTACGTGCTTTCGAGAACAGCAAAGCTGCTGTTACCTCCGGTAGTCACAACGACGGAACGCCCAGACAGTACTCATCGTTACTGTCTTTTAAAATCGACACCTTTCCTTACAAACAATCAAACTTATACTTTCCGTCCACTATACCAGTCTGAAAAGATTCACAATACATTTTTTACGAAAAGAAAACATTTTAACAAACACAGAGTGTTAGATTCAAGCGAAATGAAAATTTCTTTTTTATTCAGTATAGCTATTCAAATTGATCAACATGGTGCATGGTTGGTTTATAAACACTTAATGCGCTTCTGTCATTTTTGTTGGGCGGGGCGGAAACTCTTAGCTATGAAATTTTGAAGCGTGACTTAAAATAAACAAAATTATATAAATTAAAAAATGGGTCACAAAATAAAAACAATTTTAGCCTTTTTTCATTAATTTATGCCAAAGTATTCCTAGTTATTTTGGTCATTTAATATCTTCATTGTACATGAAATATTTTCACTATAAATGATAATTATCAAATATAGACAATCAACTTTAACATCTACATTAATGTTTTGTCATTTCCCTAAGGGATATTAAACTTTTAACAAAATCTAAACTCTCATCTTTATGTTACAGATGTATCTTTATTTTAAGGATATTCTAGAATAACACTAATTAAGAACTACGTGTTACTTATTATGTATTTTATCACGTGTTATAGAAATTTTGATTTCGTAAATGTTACAAAGTCTAGTTTTTGTTGTTTGGTTATAAAACAATTTTTGAACGTTAAGTTTAATGTATTTTAGTTTTGTGTGTGTGTGATTGCTGCTTGAATCTACCTTCATTGGGAGCATAAATATTGATTTTAATTTTAAAGTAAGACACGTGTTCACGTGCCGTGTTCACGTGCAGATACAGGGATAATTTAATGCTTATACTACACATACTAATTACAGTATTACGGAATGTGATTTAAGACAATAGTATTTGCTAAATAGCCTAAAAAGTTGAGTGACTAGTCTTCTGTGTATAATGCCGTTAGTACTTTGTCGAAAAATAAACAACGTATGTTGTTCTTGGTGCCTTTACTTATTGTTTACAGCTGTTCTTGGTAAGTTTTTCACTATTTTGCAATGTAAACAAAATTTGTATATTTAAATTTTGATATTAAAGTGTAAGCATTTATAGTTTTTAATTTGTAAAACAGTTTCATTGAACTGTTTTCAGGCTTTCTGATTCAAATTCAACTTAAGTTAGTTATACAGTTGACAGCAGACAACGGCAAAACGCACGTGTTTCATTTCGACAGAAATTTGGATGACTCATTTCGTGACGTCATCATATCGTGATATAATTATGGTATGTTATACAATATGTCTTTTAATATATTGAGATATGATGGTATATCATACAATACATCGTCATATCGTGATATAATTATGGTATGTTATATAATATGTGTTTTAATATATTGAGATATGATGGTATATCATACAATACATCAACATATCGTGATATAATTATGGTATGTTATACAATATGTATTTTAATATATTGAAATATGATGGTATATCATACAATACACTATCATATCGCGATATAATTATGGTGAATAATTTTACTGATCCATTTTGCAATTAAGACTTTGGCGTGTTTATATTACACATGTACGTAAAATAAGTGTTGTATATACATGTACATTGTAAATTGTATACTGCTCCCCTCATAGCTCGTGATAGTAAAGCATTTATCAAAGAGCAAACTGACCATACAACTTATTGTCATCAATTTTTATTTTCTGCTGTATGACACAAGGGAACAACAACAATTTCAATTAAAAATTTGTATAGACCATGTGTGGGCCATATTTAAAACAAAATGTCATCATTAATCTCGCAGTAAGTAATGTTGACTGTTGTTTTTATTAATAGCAAGCTACTAATGCTTTTATGAAAACGTTATGAGGCAACAAATTTCTTTTCTTTTCTCTATTTTCTGTACATTAAAGGTGGCTGTGATCTGGTGGGCGAGGTGCTGGGTACCAGGCCTGACACATTTTATATGTATGAGCCGCTCATTGCCATGGCAGAGGCATACTATTTTAAAAACTCCACGACAATGTGTACAACACTTCTTGACAAATGGTAAACCAGTTTAGTAATGTAATAATAAAGATGATAATAGCTTTAAAGAACATTCATATAACAGCATATACATGTATAACAACTATTCTGTTTTTAGATGGAAAAATATTTCATTAGTTGATGTTCGCTCTTTGAAGCGTTATTTTTGCTGCTTTATTGCAGTTAATAGATTTTAGACCATTTTCCCGAAACATAGCAACACTTATTTAAAGTAGTGATTGTGTAAGAATTATTTAATAACTATACCATTTCAGAAAAGAGTTTATATGTAATCTATCTAAGGATTGATTTTTTAATGTTAATTTTTGCGTAACTCTTATTCATGGTGATATTAGTACTTAACTTAAGGTGCCCTAAACATAAAATCTGTAACATTTTTAATTTACAGTATATTATTCAACATTTTCATACTCTTTCATTTAATTTTCAAAAGAAGATTATCGGTGGTATTATATGTTTAGATCCTTTACGAATTCATTTAGATTTATTAAGGTTATGAGCATGCTGTACAAAGGACACCAGTTGAGTATTTCACGTGTCGTATAAGGAGAAGAATTATCTGCATTATCAAGATTAATGGCCATGTCATTTATGTAAATGACAAAGAGTTTTTGACCTAATATCGATCATTGAGTGATTTTATACACCATCATCTTGAGGGTCGAATTAGCAAAGCCAAATTAATGTAGAAAGTCGAGGGTGCTTTTCTACGTGGACAACAAGTTTGAGACTGTTGTAAGAATAGCAATTTGATATTATATGTTTACAGTTATAAAACGACGCTAACGGAATCAGCTGTTAGAAGAATGACACACATGTTATCATGTAATACTAATATCATTGAGGACAAATATCACCATAAATGGGATACAGGTGGTTAGTATTAAATTTTACGCATACTTTGTTATATTGTTATCCTTCATTGGCAGAGGTTGAATATTTTTTCACCGTGATCTTTCAGAGAATTATTCGTAAACAATGATATTAACTTTAAAAGTATATTAAAAAGAAAGATATAATAGCAGTATTTATTCAGACAAGCGTTATACTCTTTGACATGTCCTGGCTTTATCTGAACATTAAAACATTATTTGAAGTAAATCTGAATTTATCTAGGAGAATACTGGCTAAAATATCACGAGTGTTTATTGGATAAAGATTACGATAAAGAGTTTTGTGATCGGTTCCTAAGCGACCGTTGTAAAGAAGCCAAGTTTAAAGTAATCAAAACACCACGACTTTCCACACAGATTCTCAAGACACTGTTACAGGGACACTCAAATGTTACGGTAATATACACTTGTAGCTATAAGATAACTTGAGTGTTAGCCATATTAGTTGGCAGTTTACTTTTATATTCTCATCATTGGTAACTTTATATAAACTCACATTTACGCGTTGTTGTCAATTTTTAAACATCTTCTCCAACATGTCTGTTTAAGACGAAAACAACAGTCTACGATATCCTGGTGTAAAACTTTCTTTGTTATTTTATAGCGTCAGTCTACGAACTTCTTGATCACCCCTCGTTAAAGATGCCTTACATTTGTCGAGGCAAAGGCAGGAAACATCAAAGACACTATACGCCCTTACCTATCATTGTACATATCACAAAGTTGCCGTTATTTTATTCCTGTACATTTATAAATGCATGTTTTCAGATTGTCCACGTGTTCAGAGATCCAAGAGGCATCTTGTTCCAAATAATGTCTGAGAATAGCGATCAGGCTCCAGTGTCTGCACTGAGGAAATACGCTAACAGTTTATGCTCAAGAATGAGAGATGATCTAGAAGTGGGGTTCAAACTTGCTTCACTTTATCCAAAGAGGTTTAAATTGATGTTGTTTGAAGATTTTGAAGTAAGTTACGTTTTTATTCATGTATCATATATTAAGGAGTTAAAATATACGTATTTATCTAACCATCAGACCAAACAAATAATGGTAGCGAAATTTCAGACCCTGATGCTGTTAATTGCAAATGCCGAAAATAGTCCGCTTTTTTGAAGCGGTTACTTCCCTTTATATGTACACTAACGCCGAATAATTCAGGGCAGATCACTGCGTAAAGACGGTCAAATGACAGGCGCATTAATTTTCAAGCAAAATAGTTCCCGAATGGTCAAAGACTTCTAATATTGTGTTATTAAGGTTTGTTAAGTTAACGAACCTTAGACTATTAGTCCTTGTTGTAGAATATATTTACTTTTTGTAGAGGACAAATGGTTTAAAACCTAAGTCAAAAACATCGTTCAATCAAGGCATTTGAAATTGATGAAAACAGACGTAGTAATTATAAATAAAAGTGTAGGACATTATACCTTAATATGTTTATATATAATACGTCTTCTGTCATCGATTTCAACTATTGTATGGTTTGTCACTCATATGGTATCAGTGTGTCGCCAGTAGTTACATGAAAAACAACAACTGAGTTAATACATATGTCAGGTAGTATGCCAGGTAAACTGGTCGTCGGGTCGTATGTTACTGTAAATATGATTAAATCTTAATCTAAAACATTGTATATAAATTGCATTTTAATACATGTACTTTCAAAATTTAAATTTCTTTACAGTACAAATTCTGAGTAAATAAAGCAGAGCATGGTAAAAATAGTCTGAAATCATTTTAGAAAAAAAAAGAATAAAAGTAATCTATTGTTTTCAGTGGGACATGGTGACAGTGTTCAAACCTTTGTTTCGATTTGTGGGATTTCCATTATACAGGAAAGATAAAAGTTTTGTTGAGGCTATCAGTCAGAAAAAAGCGCTCACAGAATATATAAAAGAAACTGGAAACAAAACAAGACCTGATTCGTCACAACAAGAAGTTCTCAAGATGACAAACATAAATCCATTTCAGTGGAGAAAACAAATAGATGTCAACAATTTAAAAATAATTGACGAATATTGTGGAGATTTGTATATTAAATTAGGATACAATGTGTATGCCAATGTTGAAAACCTCAGAAATTTATCAGACTGGTCGAGTTACGGTGCAGACGGTGTTTATCCCTTATAAAAGAAAGAGTTATTGAGTACGCTGTGATATCGACAGACTTTGTCTATATGCTATTGTTATCAACCTTACACATACATTTCATTTCGACAAACGCAACTTTTTATTTTAAATTCAAATTTAAGTAATCATAATTGCAAAAGTTCAATTTAAAGAAGTATGTAGGTAACTGATTTTAGTTGTCTATTTATAGGTTTTGCACGGATCTTTCATGTGTAACGATAATATCTGGTTTAGTTTAAACATATTTATTTTAGCTAGTTTTTAAAGGAAGTTGTTTAAAACTCTTGAAATACTGTTATTCCGCTTCATAAAATTTATCAATGCTGGTATCGTTTATGGAAACATGGTATGGTTGTGATGGGCAGGCTTTGAGATGTAAAAACATTGACTACTAGTCACCGTCCCCCTTCTAGTTTAAAGTATAAATATTGCAATGCTGTATGCATTATACACTGATGTTAGTCATTTCTAAAAACTTGTTAAACATTGCTATTATATTATATCCATTTGATGTAAAAGAGGGGGGACTGATGTTTTATAAAATATAGGACAGACTCTGATAATAGCAATGTATGGTGTTAAGATAGGCATATAATTATAGTAATTACTTTTCTCTAGAATTACCAATCTTTAGACCCCAGATGTGGCTAATGATAATAACTTCTTTATCAATAGTATTCATGCTATACTGATTGTGCACTTGTGAAAAAAAGAAACGAAACAAACTTTTACCTATTGATAAAGGTATAGATATTTTACACTATGACCAAACTGTATTTCACGCTGTTTAAGTAAAGAGAATAAGAAATTTAAATGCAATTATAAGTAATTATTTTACATGGCCTAAAATCAATATCTAAAACTCCAATACAAACACTTGAAAAAAAAATGTAATTAATTGTAATTAATTACTAGTACATTACTATTTACCGCAGGTCCGAAAGTCACATTGCTTTTATGTGAAATATAAAAACTATTCTTATACAAAAAACGTACTTGGGAATAATAAATACGAATTTCTACAAGTTTGCCTAAAGAAGATGTATATTAAAGCATTGTTCATATGAAATAATGAAATATGGCAGGATATTAAACTGATGTTAAATGGTTTCTTTCCGACAAATATTGTTAGACAGATTCAGTCCTTAATCAATAAAAGTTTCAGCCAGTATTTGACAACTGTGAGACTTGTTTTGAATAAAACAGGATTCTCATGGATATAGAATACTTGTTAAGATATTTTACTAAATCCTAGTTTGACACACTCATTGCAAAAAGAATAGTTGTTCATTTTATAAATCTAAGAATAAATTGTGAGAATAATGTTTTATTGGTGTGTAGAGTTGATCAGTAAATGGCTGTTGTCATGGATCTGTTTTATACTTGTAAAACTTCGGATTACTATAGCACAATGTGATATTATACCGCAGTTACACAGTAAGGAATCGTCACTTACAAAGCATTTAATCCGCCGGAGAGGACTTCTTAATCGAGCTTTCAGACCACCCTATATACTAAGAAACGGATTTGTCCAAACCTTTGCAGGACTACTTTGTTGGCCGATGGAGAATTTTCAATTTGAGCGGGAATATCTTCAAACAGCCGACAAATTTATTGTTGCACTGGATTGGTTCAAACAGTCGACAACAAAGTTAAAACGAAACAGTCCAATTGTATTGATATTTCCGCGGTTGACCGGAGATGCTATCAGTACCGGACCGCTGTGTAAACTTGTCGCCTCCAGAGGAATGAGGGCTGTTGAATTTAACAGAAGAGGACATGGAGTAAGTTTTCTGTTGTCAGCTAAACTAACCAGCATTGGTGACACAAATGATACAAGAAAAGTCATAGAGTATATATTTAACAAATATCCGTACGTACAGATCATAGGAATTGGAATAGGTGCCGGATCAGCGACATTGTTCTCTTATCTTGGTGAATTTGGTTCTTCCTCATTAATGAAGGCAGCCGTGAATATATCTCCATCATATGATAATACAGAAAAATTGTGTGAACAGATACCGAAACTCTACGAACTGTATCTATTAATGGACCTTAAAGTAATGTTAATTAAACATTGGAAAGTTGTAAAAAAATTAATTGACGTAAGAAGTGTATTGTTAAAAGCTTGGTCCTTAAAAGATTTTGATTATCAAGTTTATTGTAAAATGTACGGTATAGAAACATTCGAGGCCTTCTGGCAAAGGAATGATCCAATGAGAGATGTTGATGACATAGCTGTACCTGTTTTATGCATTAACAGTTTAGATGACCCTGTGTCAGTTAAAGAAAACATTCCTTTTGATTTATTTCAGTTTTATCCGAATTTATTATTAGTAACTGTAGAAAAAGGGGGTCACTGTGCATTTTATGAAAATATGCGCGAAGATTCATGGGTGAACACAATTGCCCTGAATTATATAGAGTATGTTTTAGAGTTTATTTCAAACTCCAAATTTTGGCATCGCTAATTGTGGCTCATAGTTCCACATTAATTTTGACAAGTCAAATCTCAATGTTTGTCTTAACAGTGTGTGTGAACAATTTCTTATACATGTACTTCTAGAGCTTAAGATGTATTTTGAAATAAAATGTTCAGCATGATATACAACTTTGTTTCTAGTATCTACGGTGACTGATTTGGTACACTTCGCGCGTTGCGTTGTCGATAGCGACAACTCAACCTATATCGTTATCGCCTTTTCGTCTTGTCTTGTCTCTAGCGAAGCACGCTAAATGATGCGTTTGTCGTGCGGCGTATTGTCGCGATGTCGCCCTGTCGCTTGGCCCTATTGCAAATCTTTCGATTTGAGCCGAGCGACAATGTGACATCGCGACAACACGCCGCACGACAACACGCCGTTTGGCGTTCATCGTAAGCGACAGGACGACTAGAGGAAAGTCCGGAAAGCGCCAATTGTTGCTTAGTCGTGCTGACGCTTACGACAACACGACGCATTAAAGCGTTCCAAATCAGTCACCATAAGTATCTGCATTTGCGATAAGAATAATTAATTGGTACAATGCATGATAAAATAGTTACTTGAGCCGGTTTTAGAAATAAAAAAAATCTTTTTTGTTATTCGTTATAAGTATGTAAAATGCATGTGCTTTTTAATTTTTGATAATAAAATAGAACTGACATTAACTCTTTCTAAGTATGTTTGTTAACATAATTTTTTCTCCATTAATTGTATGATTCCTATCTTGGATATTAAAAACATGTGTAAAACGCAGATGACCAATAACTGTCTAATGACAATAAATATCTATTCAGAAGCCCAGCATTAAGGTTGGGTGATCACATGACATTTGTTTACATTGGGTGACCGATAATATTTAGTGTTTGCTAATTTTCGTTTAATCTTTCAATTTTTTTTAATAATAAACATATACATGTACCATGTTCCATGTAAATATTTGCAGATTTAAATTGTATATAACTACATTTTATTTTTCCTATTATGCTCTATGTGACAATATTTTAATGAAAATTTGTGTAACGATTTCTGGAAGCATATCGGGTAAAGTACAATAGCTACACTGTAAAAATATGTACCATTGGAATCGGAAAATATTTGCCTGGATTATTGTGTATGTTTATTATTCAAATATTGAAAGTTATATCGAAAAAATAGCAAAAACTATTTGCGGTGACCCAATGTTACCATAAACAAATGTCACGTTGTCATCCGCCTTGAAAATTTGCATTTGCATTAACACGATCAAAGAGATCTGTATATAGCAAAGACGGGGGGGGGGGGGGGGGCTCATAAGTTTTTATAACTTTGCCAACATTTAATATACCGTTTTACAAAGGAACAAGGAAGGAACAAACAATGCACTATAGTCATTGACAGACCAACCACAAAATGTTTACCAAAACATGTATGAATATGGTTACTAAACGCGTCTTCAACATGGACTACGATAAATGCAGTAATAGTTGGTGCAGTTACGTTAAAACAGTTATGACAATATTGAACTTGATCAGTCACTTTGAGAACAAAACCGTTATAAGCATAGATTATGTTAAAATCAAGATAACTCAATATTAAACTGATATTTGGAAAACTGACAAACAAAAAGTACCGAAATTACGAACCTATGTTTCCCTCAGGACATTTTTATAACAGGAAAATATGTACAGTTAAATTTGAATAAAAATGAAAAGATCAATGTTATCTCAATTTAGATGTGGCATTCTCCCGTAAACGATTGAAACTGGACGTTATATAAGTGAAACACTAGAGCAGAGAACTTGTTTGTTTTGAACAGATAATAAAATAGAAGATGAAAAGCACTTTTTAGTCCATTGTCCCTTTTACAACATCAGAGTAGACATTTTTAGTGAACAATTTATGAATACAGATTTTATGAACATGAACGATGATATCAAAATGAAATATCTTGTTGTGAGCTTTCCACGAAAAGTAGCTAAATACCTTTGTTAATGCTTATCTAAAAAGAAAGAAATCTTTGTTTAATCTTTAATATATTTTTGTTTATAACAAAAGACTAAAGTTATATTTTGCCGGAACAGCTTAAGATTAGAATTTCTATTGTAAATTCAATTCAATATCGATATGTACACTGTTAATAGATATGTACATTGTTTTGTAGCATACACGACTATTTATCCTGCAATATTGATGATGAGTACAGTATAATAATTTCATGTGAACTATTTATAATATATACATGTTTCAGGTGACTTATTGGTCCATTGGGCCGGGTGTTGTTATTTAATTTCGTTATTAAAAATTTTGTAAACTGTCATATAATATGTCACTATAATAAAATATTTACTTACTTACTTACTTCTACAAATTTACAAAGCTATAGAAAAGCTTTGAAATGTTAACGTTTAATATACATATGACATATAAATACCTTTGTCACGAAAAATAAAGTCAGCATCAAAACGCATACCAATTATTAAAACATTAAAGTTTCTAATATGATTTCTGAATTTTACATTTAATATATTACAAATAATATTAATATTGGTGATTCTTCCATGCTTCGCATGGATATTTTTATCATTCATTTTATATTCGGGCCCATTTATCCATTGATCCATGAACTGGGCAATTATTTTTAGAAGTCTAATTTAAAATATATTTTGGTTGGATGAAGCGTTCGGGCGTACATTAGTGCTCGTGTATAAGAACAGAAATCTGACTTAAATTGCCTTTGCTACCAGTGTAGAGCCAGCCCAACCTGTACATCCGTGCAAGCTAACCAGACCCTACACTGTTGGCTCATTTACTTAATTTACTTTTCTGCTCGAAAACACCAAAAGTTTAAATGAACAGTTCCATAAAAATAGGGTTAGACAAGCCTATTAAAGGAATTAAGAAGGTCAATTGTCAACATATGACATGATAAGATAACACGAAAGGTCAGACTTTGTGTTAGTTTAAATGTTATATATCTGCTTTAATCTTAATTGTCAAATATGTTGTTAGTTTTTATTCCGTTTTTTCTAACTGTGAAAGGTAAATCGATTCATTCATTATATTTAAACTATACATAATATCACTTTTATAGTCTTTTTAACATGTAAATAATACTAATGTCAATGATAAAGGCTGAGCTAAACTTTAATTATTAGAATATAGACCAAAAATATGTGTAGGAAAAACAATGATGTTATATTAATATAATATGTGTAACAGTTAAAATATCTATATTACTATGCGTGTTACTATACTATCAAATTTTGACCTTTTCCAGCAATATTACTTCAGTGCAATAGTTCGGAATTAAATACCATATAATATATTTTAAAAATGAATATACATGTAGATCTATATATGTTGCAGCTCAATAAATAATAATAACAATATATGTTTTGTAAGACCATGTATGTCCCCATATCGGCAACAAATTAGTCATGTGGCCAGGTTATTATTACTGACTTTTGACATTGTGACCAAAATCAAAGCACTGCAAGCACTGAGGTATACATTGCTTGACATCAAGACCATGTGATTTTAATCTACTGAACTCAATAGAAGTCATCTTCTGGGTACAGTCAATTTCGAACACAAATCTAGGCTTATTTCTTCTCAAGTTATTAATAGGACAAGAAAGAGGTGTTGTTCCTACAGACTAGTGCTGTGTTTTTCCAGGCAAGACTACATGGTTTGCGAAACTGAAGAGCAATACAGAAATCAGTTTGCAAAGACCGGTTTTTTATCTGCAGTATACAATGCTGAAATAGTAAAATAGAGTCGTCAGTGCTTTTATCTATTACTTTAAAAACAAGACCAACATGCGGGTTTGTAGTCTACAAAAATGTGGTATTGAATCATTCAGCAAGACTTAAAAGTTAGGTGAACATTTTTGTTTACATGCAAAACGCATTCACTGGAAAAAAAGCACTCCATAGTGCAATTATTGATTCAAAATAAAAGCATTTGTACTTGACAAAATTTAGGCATCAAAGCCCTAAGCTCTTGCCTTGTACATTCTTAAATTTTTACTACAAGTACATTACGAAAATTAATGACTCCCCCCCCCAACCCTCCCACAAGGCAAATTTTATCCCAGGGCTAAAATTAAAACAATCTTGGTAGAGGTCGACTACACAATGTTTCATGCCAAATATCTTACCTCTAGTCTTTGTCAATTCAGAGGAGAATACTGTTTAAGTTTTTTTTTCTATACATGTATATACATTTAAGGAAATCCTAAGACACCACGGTGCCTGGTTAACCTTGTACCTTCAGACAAGATTTTTTTTAAGTTTTTTACTTTATACATACCATATAATGAAAACCTAAAAAGACTCCTTGGCAGAGCCATTTTGACCCCAGGGCTATAATTTGAACAATAGTGATAGAGGTTTACTACACATGTAAAGGTTTCATGCCAAATATCAAACATCTAGCCTTTGTCAATCCAGAGGAGAATATTTTTTATGTTTTTTTTTCTATACATGTTTATACATTTAAGGAAAACCTATGACACCCTGGTGCTATTTCACTAGGGGCAACATTTGAACAACTTTGGTAAAGGACGTACTGATGATATTATTTACCAAGTATCTAAGCTCTAAGCCTTAAACCTTCTGATAAAAAGATTTTTAAAAAAGTTTTTGCTATATACATATAAGGAAAACCTTAATATATGACCCAAGGGGTGAGGCTAATTCTGACCCTTGGGCTGTAACGTGAATACTCTTGGTAGAGGTTAACTACCAAATGTTTCATGACAAATATCTAACCTCTAGTCTTTGTCAATTCAGAGGAGAAGATTTTAAGTTTTAACTACATACATATCAGGAAAATCTATGAACCCTAGTGCAGGGCTAATTTGACCCCCAGGGTATAATGTGAAAATCTTGTGAATGTCTACCAGACAATGCCTTTTGTAAAATATCTATGCTCTAGGCCTCATTTAAGTCTTTGAACAACTTTGGAAGCCCTTTACTCATGGAACAACCCTGTCAAGTTTGGTTGAAATTCGACAAGATGTTTTCAAAAGATGTTAACTATATAATGTATAAAACACACACACATGCACGCATGCATGCACACACACACAAAAGAGGAGAATCGCTATATGCCAACACAGCATCTACATGCATCAGACCAGCAGTCCAACACATTTTCAAAAAATAAAATGACAATTACATTGTTGATGTGTTGAAAGCCTTGTGAAATTTAATAAAAGCTTTATAATATCTAGAATAAACTTTCATTTTTTCATTCCAAACTGTAAACAAACAATATGAGGTATGGTACATGTTATGGTCAACCAAGTGGATCTCATTGGAGCTAGGTGGAGAGGAGTGTGGGAATCCAAAGATTAGTAAATCATGTTTGCTTACTGAGTGCATCAGAAAGTATTTAAGCACTAAGTTGAAATTTATACGGCATAATGCACTTTATGTGTGGTAATATGCTATATATCAAAATTAAATACAAATGTACTCAGTATCTTTTTTTTATGTTAACTATAAACTTAAAGAATTAATAAATTTCTTTTATATAATCTATGAATTCAGTTTATAGTATCTTTTTTGGTTTGACTTTTATCACAGTCTGTGCTTTTTGTGATACCATACTATTGTTTCCGGCACCTTTACTCCAAGTAAGCAAATGAAGTAATTGAAGACCAGGACCTTGAGTGTAGTAACTTCCTTTCTGAGTGGGGGATCTGAACATCACTGTCTGTCCTGTCCACCATGTCTCGATATCGGATTTGTCTTGGTACAGACCACCCTGTCTCATGGTCTGCAAGGTCCTGCATGTATGGCCAGCTGGGACTGTTTTATGTCACAGAGGAGAACTCCATATAGTTTTTTGACAATCAATAAATATTTTACAATCCAATAGGAAAAAAAAAGATTCATGTAGTAGCTTTTTTAGCTAAATCCTTTCAAGCTATCATCATCGTGTACAATAAAACTTACTGGTAAGGAGTTAATTAAGGGCTTCTACCCCTAATACAAAAAAGGTCAAATTAAAAAGTAGTACTGTTACAATGCCTTATCAAAAATAAAGTCACATATATAGACAATAACTAAATATTTAACAATATTGATTTAATACAAATAAATCATTAATATATGCAGTCCTGCCAATAATGAGCTGAAAATATTTATCAATTTCAAAAAGTGAGAAAATGAAATGCAGCTTGACTAAAACTCAAACCAGAGACACTCAGAATACCATACCTCAGCACTACCAAAAAAAACCAGAACCGTTGGAATACCATACAGCAGCTCTACAGCTTAAATATTTTCAGTCTCATAGTTCTATGCATTGACATAATCCACAGCATATTGAAATTTTTCCTTTTTCATTGGCACACTTAAGTAACAAAGTGAATTGACTTATGATTCAGTTATGTACCATCATAAACATATATTGGACCCTAAAAGTAACAGGGTGAAAATATCACAGGGTGAGAAAAATGTGCAGTTTGACCGGAATCAAACCTGAATCAGAATATTATACATGTATGTGGGCTGTACTGACTCACTCAGCTGAGCTATCTAGCTGGCAATGTCAATAATCTATTACACATGGGCATAGAAGTCAAAGAAACATTCATTGATAATGACCCATTATTTAAAGTAAATCATATCAGAAGCATCCCTTGAAAATGATATCATTTCATTTTTGACCCACAGTTGTTACCACTACCTCCTAATGGGCCTAATTAAACTGAGCCTGCAGAATTTTATAATTTTGCTGTCTGTCAGACATGGCAATTTCTTATGGGTTTCATCTTTATTTCCATTTGAAGGGATGTAACTCATGTTTACTAAATAGTTTGTTCTTATCTGTCTATCTTAGCCATTACAGACTATTCTAGCTGTATATTAACATAAAAAATCTTTTATATTAACAAACAGAACATAATAAGATGAAAAATTTACCAGTTGGAGAAATTCATCAAATGGATGGAGGTCCAGGAATGATGAATATGGATAGAAATATTTTTTTTTGACTGGCTTTATGTACCTTTTAGTTATTGTGGCAAGGAATTTTATAATTATTCAGTTAAACCTGGTTTTTCAGTTAAGATTTCATCATAAAAAGATCTTCAGGACTCTAAATAAATTCATATTTGTGGTATCAGGGGAAATTAAATTACTATTTGTGCTAAATCTGATCATAAACATCAATCTAAATATTTAGAATATTCCTGTGTTGAGTGTCATATTTCACTCTTCACTTTGGTTATCCCAGGTCAACCCTTTTTTTTACTAATGGCTTTAATTTAACTGCCCATGCAATCATAAGCTCATATATGGCTAATAATTTTACCTTATATATATCAATAGTCTAAGGAGTTATGGAAAAAAATGTTAAGGGTGGCTCAGCCTGACTGAGTGATTTGATTGTAAATAACATATTTCAAAATATATTTCTAGACTCAACATGCTTTCAAAACTCTTTAAGAAAACTGTCAAATGATGAATATTCATCTGGATTTGTTACCCGAAATCTGTGTGATTCTAGCACTTCATTTTTTCTAGGATTGTCAAATATTTTTTTCACTTTCAGTTTATGGTCTGCATTTGCCCATGTAAATTGATAACTTTAGGTCCAGCACAGTGTAATAGGATATTTACTTGTATCTTTTCATCTTTCTCAGCATTTCCACTGGCAGTCAACACTGGTAAAGTAAATTTCCATTGGCGCTTCCATTTGATAAAGTTATGTGATATGTTACCATTTTCAACATCTAAATGTCCAGGGGGTCTAAACGTATCTGCCATGATTGTCAGTTCGAATAATACCGATTACGAAGGCTAAATTCGAATAATTTTGAGTACAAATCCTTAGTTCGAATAATATTGAGTACGAATCTTCCCTTTCCCGAAAATGGCTTTTGGACGATATATTTCACTAAAGTGGCAGAAATACTTCACACTGCAGGTGTGAAACAAATAATTGCATACTCCTCCGATGCCACCACGTTGATAGGGTTGTATTATATGCAATTATATGACAATACGTTTTCAGAACGTAAACTTTAATCCATTCATACAGACGCTTACAATGTTACATAACACTAAATAAGACATAAATATCTGTATCTGCTCGTTTTCTAAAACAGTTTGAAATAGAAAAAGTATGCAAGTCTATATTTAAAAGTAAATAAGGTTTACTTGCTTGATTTAATATTAATTTTGGATGTTGGACATATTTTTATACAGAGTCTGTCGTAATTCATTCATTCTTGCACGCGCATGCGTGGATACGAAGTTTGAAGCGTAGGTTTACACAATGCTTTTATGAATGAAATAGAAATTTTCATATTTTTTGCTTTCATGTTTAGAAAATGTTTATTTACACTGAAAGTGCATAGTTTTGAACTTTCAAAGCTTATTGACCACTATGCAAACAGTATATTAATAAAAAGTGATCTTAATGTGACAATCCTGCAAAATGAGGATCTACTTTTATCGAGGTTTCATCCAAAGGTGGATGTTGTTCAGCAAAACAGGTTAGGTGTACTAAATCTGAAATACAGCTATAACTCTGTATACATTGCAAGCAATGTATACAAAAATCAATAGGGGTTAACTACTGGTCATGACTACTCACTAGGTCATTGTGACTGTCAAGGTTGTGTGCAGCAATTTTATGACAAAGTTATCACAAATTTTACTACCAAATAGTATATGCATAAATTCAGACCCATTTGTTACATTACATTAGACATTGAAATGTGTATACCAAAAGCAACTTTAGTTTAGTAAAAATATCAACCAAGGCAACATGAGCTTTTGAGTTATTGGTCGGAAACCGTTTTTACGTACAACGTCAATGTGACTTTGACCTTTGGCCCTTAAATCGATAGGAGTTATCTACTAATATAGACCAATGCATCTGGGAAGTTTGAAGTTAAAAGGCACATGAGTTGTTGAGATATTGACCAGAAACCATTTTTATCTATAAGGTCAATGTGACCTCTGACTCCATTGACCTCAAAAATCCGTTGAGGTCATTTTCTGACCAAAAGCAAAGTATTTGTGAAGTTTGAAGGTAAATGGTCCATGGGTTGTCCACTTTTTGATAGGAACGTGTTTTCACATACAAGGTCAATGTGACCTTAACCTTTGACCCCCTGACCCCAAAATCAATAGAGGTCATTTACTAGCCAAGGCCAATGTACCTATGCAATTTGAGGGCCAAGGGCTCATGGGTTGTCAAGTTATTGATAGGAAACCTTTTTACCTACAAGGTCAATATGACCTTAACCGTTGACCCATTGACCCCAAAATTAATAGCCAAGACTAATGCACCTACGAAGTTTGAGTGAAAATATCCTATTGGTTGTCAAGTTATTGATAAAAAAATCGTTTTACCCACAAGGTCGATGTGACCTTGACCTTTGACTCCTTGACCTTAAAATTAACCGGGGGGTCATCTATTTGCCAAGATGAATGCACCTACGAAGTTTGAGGGCCAACAGCCCATGAGTTGTCAGGTTATTGATCGGTAACCGTTTTTACCTTCAAGGTCAATGTGACATTAACCTTGATCCGTTGACCCCAAAATCAATAGGGGTTATCTACTGGTCATAAACAATCCCCATACCAAGTTTGAAGTTCCTAGGCTAAAGCGTTCTTCAGTTATTGATCGGAAACCATTTGGTTTACGGACGGACGGACGGACCGACCGACAGACAAATGGAAAGCAATATACCCCCATTTCTTTAAAGGGGTAGGGGCATAATAATGATGATCATGATCATAATAGTGAAACACTTTTTATTTTATTTCGTCAACTGTATAGTAACAATATTATGCTATTATTACAGTTGTTAACTGGTTATAGTACGTTGAAATTGTGTAAAGGACATTCATTACTTGAGTGGAGTGTTTTCCAATTGTAATAGTTATTATTGTTGTCACAACAATGCTGTTTTATTCAGAAGTTCATATTAAGAATTAAGATATATGTATCGTATGTAATATGTACTTTGTAAGTTGTTATATCATTTAAATAATGCTATTATTATTATTGTTGTTGTTGTTATTATTATTATTATTATTATTATTATTATCATTATCATTATCATTATTATTATCATTATCATTATTATTATTATTATTATTATTATCATTATCATTATCATTATCATTATCATTATCATTATCATTATCATTATTATTATTATTATTATTATTATTTTTTTTTTTTTTATTTTATCATTATTATAATAATTATTATTATTATTATTATTAAACCTTGACACCTCGACAGAATATCACACATCATGAAGGCTTTGTTAAGGGTCGAGATCAATTATCAAACGTCTTTTAAAATCATTAAGAACAAATAAGAATATTTGCAGGGATTTTCAGTGCAACATCGTGTCCAGATGGATTTGAGCCACACCATGGTTCCTGCTATTTTTTCAGCCACGATAAAGAAACATGGACAGGAGCCTATGTATGTTCAAAATAACTGTTTTCTTCTTTTGACTTTAAATGATATTACATGTATTAACTATATATTTAAACATAACGCATAATTAAGACATGTATAAAATGATATAGGACACGTATAACTGTGTGTTTGTCTTTTACGAGATGAATTTCTTACGTATATTTTCTGTACTCAATAAAGAAGCATTACTGATTGATACAATGTTTTGAATTCTTACATTAAACGTTAAAATGATAAAATATTTATATAACGAAAATTTCAGCAATCTTGTAAAATCTTCGACGCAATGCTGGTTGAGGTCAATTCCGCCGACGAAGACGCTTACCTTTCTTCAAAAGCACGAACCCTCGGAAGTATGCTGACACAATGAATTTTTTGGGTATTGAGAACGAGTGTGTAACGCCGAATATAATTTTCGCCGAATACAGCTCTCCGTGATATTTAAACAAAAACTTCTTTTAGACCTATCTCAAACAGCTATATGCGCTCCTTTTAAAAGAATAAAAGCTCCCCGAGAGTACTACCGAATAAAGTTCCTCGAGGGTACTAACGAAATTTAAACATTTAAAGTAGAAGAAATAATGTGGAAGGGGTTGTTGATTCAACACACGTGTCAATCCACGCTTGATTTTTTTCCCTCTAGTGAATGTTTGGGACATTGTCATATGTCTTTATTAAGAATGACAACATTCGGTATGAGCTAAGTCTCAAAACTAAGAAATAATTTAACATATTATTTGTTGAAAACTATTTTTTTTTTGTAAATACACATGTTGTGCGACGACATTTCATTAAAAGTGCTACTGGCCACTTTTCCTTTTTGTAATTCATAGTTCTTTTCACTGGCAAAATGAATTCAGCAATGACAAAATCTAAAGTTATAGAAAATAATTATGTTCTCATACATACATAACAGATTAACTTTTTGAGAAATATACACGTAATTTAATAATATATATTAAAATACTAGTTCGAAATCATTATGAAAAATAAATAAGTGAATGTACGCGTGTGGTTGGTCTTATTGGAATCATAATAATTAACATGAGTGTCAGTCGGATGAATGAATAAAAATTATCTAACTTTTACATTAAATAATATAAATACTTTTTTTATATATAAACCAAAAGATTTTAAATATTTGAATGGATCTTTGTTATTGTTAATTCAGAAGGTCATACTGAAAATAAGTATACTTGTTACTGTAAACTTTGTATGTTACCTTCTATAAATAAAGATTTTATTATTATTATCATTATTATTATTATAATATATATTCACACGTCTTCTTTTTTTGAATTCATTTCCAGCACAAATTTAATTTTATGACATGTTATATTATTACAGACTATTGGTATATTGGACTGAGTGACAAACTAGTTGAGGGAGAATATATCTGGGAGTCTAGTTTACAGGTACTGACAGGTGATGCGTTCTCTAACTGGGGTGTTGGGGAGCCAAACGGTGCTGGCGATGAAGACTGTGTTGTTTACGCACCATCCATAAACTATCAATGGGGGGACGTTATTTGCACCCGGACAGAACACTACATATGTGAAAAGAGGTTAGCTCACATGTTTGTTAAACTCGTATGTTGATCTTTTCTTTCATATCAAAGAAATATGAACATTTACTATCATATTGATACCAGAACATTATTTTGATATTTTGCAGGCAATAAATTTAAGGAGTTGAAAAGTCAAAAGGTTTAATAAAAACTCAATCGCTATTTTTTCCAGCGCAGACAACGAACAGATAGTCGGCTGACGAGACACTAATTTACATTGTTTGTAGTAAACAAAGTAAAAAATAAACTATGAATGATATCGTTTACTTATAGTTTACTTTTAATAGAATCCTAAATCAGTTTACTGGGTATAAAGTCCCCTGAGAACACCATTCGGTTTACACAGAAAAGGCCTTTGTTTGATAGGTAAGGCACATATTTTTACTTGATAAATACATCTTCCTGTGTTCATCCTTTTAGTCATTTTATAAAGAAGTCGCGGTAATCAAACATAGAGAATCCTAAACCTCCATTTATTTAACTTTAGCTAGTTATACCAAGAATACAAATAAATGCTGTGTTGTCCATGTAGCATTTTCAAATTCATTGGTTGCAGCAAAATTTTGTACCAACTTCATTGATAGTATAACTTTTATTACGGATATTTGAATTTCCTCGTTAGTATAAACGATGTTTCACTTTGTTATACATTATTCCATTGTGTTATACAATATTTAACAAATAAAACATGTCCTTGAGGGCAATATGTAAGTTTACGGACTGGTTGGTCAGACCTCGGAAGGAATATGGCCCGAAGCGCAGCTGATAATTACATGTTGATCAAATGTCATGATTTGTCTTTAATTTAGTTATAAATTTTATTTGTACATGCCAGAAAAAAATGTGCAGAGAGGCGTCTGAGATTTTTATCCACAACCACCAGTAAAGCTGGAAAGTGGCCATATGACCTTGCTCAATTTAGTGTGTTGGTGTAATGTAAAAAAATGAATTGCCTTCTTCGGAATAGGTCATATTACCAAAAAGAAGAGTACACGTATTTAATGGATGAAAAATGCGAGTAGCATTAAAATGTTGAATTCGTTGTGGTGTATGATCAACAAGCATTAACAAGATGCATTTTCTCTTAAATGATTTCTAAATAAATCAGCATTTAAATTGCTACATTTGTTACGAATTTGAGCGTGTAAAACCGAGTGTAGACGATCCCCGATACAGAAATAAATAGAAACTGTCTGAGGTTTGTATTTCTGTTTAAGTTTGCATTTAAATATATTAAAGGGAGGATGAATTTCCTATATCAGTATCCAAGTTATTCCATAATGACGTTGCTGATAAATGAGTTTGTAAAAATTTGAGTACGACGTGCTACAGTTGTATAGTTGTCCCTGTTTCTTAAGACATAAGGCACATTGTTAGAAAGGGTATCTGGAAAAATGTTTAACAAATAATCCGTTAGGGTGCCTGTTTAGCTTTATACTAAGTAACGAGTTTTGGAATAGTTTGTCTGTCAGACAATGATACCCAACCGATTTCATTAAGCAAACGCTCAATAGAAACAGACCGTGTTAGGCCAGTAACGATACGTGCCGCTTCGTATTGAAGTTTCTCAAGAGTGTTTCTCGTAATCCGCGCATCCATCCCAGACAATTGACGCATATTCTAAGATTGGTCTCATGTAGGAAATGTATATTTGATTTAAAGTTTTTCGTTTAAGTTTGTATTTTGATGCTCTCATAGATCCTAGAACTTTGGAAGCAGACAATAATATATTGTTTATGTGGTCATGCCATTTACCATCAGTACTAAAAGTGACACCAAAGTGTTTATGACTGTTAACTTAATCAAGAGAAACATTATCAAAGTAGAGAGATGGCTTATCGTCAGACCCAAGTGTAAAAAATAACACTTATGTTTTGTTAGGATTTAGAAGTTTACTAGCCAACGTTTCGAACATTCCGTAATTTTATTTCAGTCTTCATTAAGGGTACGTTCCATAAAAGAACTGGAAACTGCGAGAGAGCTATCATCTGCAAAAAGTCTTGTTACACTGATTAGATTATCGGCAATGTCATTGACATAAATTAGAAATAATAAGGGGCCAAGGGCAGAGCCTTGGGGACCCCAGCAGTGATATATTTACTTTTGGAATAGGAGGAACCAACAAAGACCTTTTGATTTCGATTACTTAGATAATTATTTGTCCATTTTAGAATCTGACCATTAATTCCGTATTGTTTTAATTTGAATATAGATCTAAGTCCTTCGTGCCATACTCTATCGAACGCTTTTGAAATATCTCAAAATGAGAGCGATTGTAATACCATACAAGTCTTTTGTAAGGTACTGATTGCGGTAAATTAAATTTAATATACATTGTAAATATCAGTGCCAAAATGATAACTGATATTCCTCGGTGTCTTAAAAATACCCGAATGTAAAATTAAATTCTGGTCTGAGATAGCAATTGGATCAATAAGAGTTGACGAGTTGTCTGCGACTCGTGTCGGTTCCGTAATTTAACACTATACATATTATTTAAAATTAATACACCGCGAAGTTTATGGTTTCTTATGTTCAACTGGTCTTCATTAATGTCACCTACAAATAGAACTCTACTTGATTTATTAAAAGCATTTTCTAGACATATATTCAATATAACCCAAAAGTCTATATTTGTATTAGGTGGACGATAAAAATTAGCTATCAAAGTTTTTCATTACTGTCTGTCTTTTATTTCAGTCCAAAGTGATTCGGGTAAGGTATTTTCCAGATCAATTAGCCTTTATAGCTAAGAAGTTAAGAGAAGGCCGGAAACTTCAGATTCGAGCCTACGGATCAGATAATTAAAAACTCTTTTATCACTATTTCACGTTTGTAGTAAGCTTCTAAATGAGACCGACCCCAAGTATGTAGCCTTTCCCGGTCATGAAATATCTATCAGCAAACGAGCGCATCCGTGCTAAAAATCCCTGGTAGTACAACGATTCGGTACTAAACATAGACTAATTCATGTTTGTTAGCCTAGTCCGGGTCAAAATCACTTGAATTTACTAAATAATATTACAAAATACATTAAGTGGGACCACTCACAACCCTCAGTAGCATCTGACATGGAGCTAAATATAAATTGCTGTTTACGCCATCAGGCATACTTGTGCGAAACGTTGCGGTTTCATTGCTATTGGCAAATCAGAAGACTCCTTACAAAATACCGAACAGGTGATTTACAATTGGGTAGAAAGGAATCAAAAGACCATGGGGAGGTTTGAAACTCGAATTTCGTGTGTATCAGTCTAGTCCTCAAAAAATCTTGATCCGTCATTGAAAATAACTAGGGTCCAGTCATTCTGACGTTAGCGGGCGCCCATTGAAACGTTCATGGATGCAGATTGCTGGTTGTCTGGCCCTCATGCCCGCTCTATGAAAACCCTTTCTGATTGTTTGCCTAGCAATTCTTATGCCACTGGCATAATTTAAGTCATTTTGCAGGGCAGTAGCCGTAATATAACGCTGACGTCGCGCTTGGGCGACAATAAAACGGTCTTCACGCTGAATTGTGACCCTTTCCTGACCCGCGTAGTAGTTCATATTTCAGTGCAGGACAATACCCCTACTGATATTTCCTTTAAAGATACCCTGTCCTTTTTCTTTTTGCAGCGGACAATTTCCCTCCCCTTGTCTGTTTTTTATTTCTTTTGTCGTTGATATATTCCATTAGGGGAGTAAGGTACAAAACTAACAAAATGATAGCTTTGTTCATCAATAGTACTTATTACAAGCCATTCCTTACAGTTCCTGTAATTTTCATTATTGTTCATATATCAGGCACAACGGAGCTTTTGTATGAGCATTAACTCTAAGATTTTTTAACCTTGTTAGCAAGCTTTTTTTTAAAAACTGTAAATATCATACTGTTATTTTCAAATTGTTGAAATTTTATTTTACTTCCTTCAGGTGTAACCAATGAAAGCGCATAAAAATACACGGAAGTCTCAGAGAAATTGCTATATAAGTCATGTTATCAAGGTTTTCGTGTAACACCGGTTTTGATAAGACTTGTAAAATCAAGGTTTAAATTATTTTCAATTGCGCAAAATGGATGTGTTGTTAGCATTTTTTTATCTTCAACTCACTATAGGTATAAATTTGATCAATTATCTTAATATTGTTTCTTAATTACCATTACCTATTTATTAATTTCAGATAAAGCATTTGCTTTCTAATAGCTGCTATAGTAAACAGGTAAATACAAACTAAACTGATTTTCTAACTTTTTTTAAATCAATCTAGTTTACTTCATACACTTCAGGTTTTGTCAGTGGAACTTCTTGTACAGATGGTTTTGAGGTACACAGGGGGTCATGCTACTTTTTTAGCCACGGAAAAGAGGCATGGGAAGCTGCACATGTATGTTGTCTTGTATAATATATTGTCGCTACAGAAAATTGAGCCCTTATGTTATGTTCTCCAAGGCAAAGAACATAGTCGCAGCTTTGTCTGTTCGTCTGTCTGGGCAACGAGATGATATCTGTTTAATACAGACAACTATAAAAAAGCGGTAAATTCCATTCTATCTAGTAAATTAAATGGTCTTATTAAAATGTCCTATCATAAAGATTTTTGACCTTACGTCCGTCTAAGAGTCAAGATGCCAGGACAACGGTTAACAAGCAAAAAATCCCCCTAACTATAGTATTTACTTACATTAAGGCTATCCAGACGAAGTTGTTACCGGAATATTTCTAATTAGACTAATAATGACTTATTGAAGTCGACGAAGATGTTCCGAAGAGGAAACTTCAAGATAATCCTCGCATAAAAGAAGCATGTTCTGCTTCGGTGCCTTATTTCAGCTGTAATGTTTCTTTGGGCTACACTAAAGTCTTGTCTTTAATACTGAAACGATGTGTCCTATCACAATGATGTGCTCTTCTCCGTGTTTACTCATTTGACTGAAACATAAGTTTTGGTTAAGTAGGCAATGGTAGACAATGGTAGAAAACCAACATGCTTCCCAGTAGGGATTCATTTAGTTGCCACTATGCCTGACTGTTCGTTATTTGATTAAAATGTACACGTATAAAGTAAATACTCGTTTAAAGCGCAGTACAAGAAATATTCACAATTCTTAAAAATATTTTAGTCATTGTTAAGAAATTTTTTACGGCTATAAACACAATTATATTTGTTAGTCAGTAAATGTTTCATAATGGTTGAATTGTTTCTCTTTGTAAGAAGTTTAACCAATAACATAATAAAGTATGTATATTTTCTTAACCTTTGTCAGCAATCGTGTAAACTCTTTGGTGCTATGCTTGTCGAAGTCGATTCATGGGACGAGCAAAATTATATCTCTGAAAAGGCAAGAATTCTAGGAGGTATGACTTTGTACAAGATATTTTTTTTCTAATTTCTACAGTCAACACTTTTCTCATGTTGTAGTTTATTGATATGTCATTCATCAAAACAGTGTAACTCAAGTCATGACTATATATCACAATCCAATGTAAACAGAAAGTCAAGAGAAAAGTTTAAAATGGCAAACCCTTCCAACTTTATCATAACATTTTTTAAAAGTGTTGTAAAAACTTTTGTACCACTAGTTATTCTGATATTTGAGAGAAATAAAACAAATCTTATGATATATGAGTTATTTTAATGCCAGATTGATCAAATTATCAAATATATTTACATATATATACAAAAATAAAAAATTAACCCAAGTGCTTTTTTAGTTTTCACTGTCTACTGGTAGTAATTGTATGAATTCATCTCAAAATAATCAATATTATAATAACATGCCATATCAAAGAAAAAATATAATTATTAGGACTTAAATAACTCATGATTCTTTTCAAACTCTAACGATATCATTAAGAAACTATACATGCATGTTCATCGTCATATTAATAGAAAAGTAAATTTTTAAGTCCAGGTGATTAATCCATTACGATTCATTTATATCCCCCATTATTATTCGTGTTTCTAACAGGATGGTATTTGTGTAAATGAAACCACAGCTTTGCTTTGTTATATCGAGCATGTTAAGATTTCATGGTCAAACAGTCATTCAAGTGTTAATATACAATTTAACATGCAGTTGGCCTTTTTGCAGACTATTTCTGGATAGGACTAACAGACAAACTAATAGAAGGAGAATATATGTGGACGACAAGCCAGCAATTAGTTACCTTCTCAAACTGGGGACCAGGAGAACCTGATGGACATGATCACGAAAACTGTGTTCTCATTGACAGTCCCAATGACTACAGGTGGGCAGATGTCAGGTGTGACAGGCCTGAACATTACATCTGTGAGAAAAGGTAGGCTCACTTCATGTGTGTTTCCTTTTTCTACCGATTAATGAAAAAGAGACTTGAGCTTTTCGAATATATTTATTCTTTTTTATAGGCAGTCAAAAATTTAATGCATCCAAAAATACTTTAATGTTTTTTTTTGGCATACAACTTTAATATTATTGATGTTTGAACTCAAGAACTGCATTTATGTTTCATTGAGCATTGATGCCGACGCCTCGTTTTTGGTCAAACTGGCAACAACTTCTGAAGTAACATTCCTAATATCGCTTGCAGTCACAAGCTTTCAAAGTAAACGTTATTGGGCCGCGACAGCTACAGCCGTAAGGAATTTCCGGTGTTCATACATTTAAATTAATAAGGACTTTTGTCATGACGGTTCCATTAAGAAGTATGACGGAAATCTGTAGAATTAAAAAGTTTCTTCTTCATTTGCAGTGGCGGTGGCAGTATTGTAGGCTGAATGTCATTGAAGCTATTAAATAAATCAACGATTTCAAGGTTTTTCTTAGTTCGATATATGTTCCTTAATAAAAGTTTAAATTATAAGATATTATTTTTAAACATTAAGTATCGATAGGTTTGAATACTTTTTCCGGGTACATGTAGCTTTACAAAATTTCCAGGAGTATTCTTCCTGTACAAAAAAAAGCATCGTGATTTCCTTTGCAAAGTCTTGTTTCTAAAACAAACATGTAAACAGATTAAGCTATAATGATTAAACTGCCGCTTTCAAAGTTGTTGAAATTTCCGTGTGACATTGGATATCGCGGATCTTGGAACGAAAACGTTGTTTCGAAAACAGTATGTTGTTCGCTTATAGCAGTTCTTTTCTTTGCTACGCGGAACATACGAGATTACGCCTGATATTTTAAGTTAAATTCCAAATGCCTTAAAAAATAGCCTTTTAAATATTTTAAGTAAAGCCCACAGTTTATCAAAAATGGTTAGATACATACGATTTATTATCATAGTACAACATTGTTTCTGATACATGTATATAGGGTAAAATAGATAATATATAACTCGTTTGAATGTATTATTAAATTCAAGGTCAGTGCAGATAGCGATATTTGTATAAGCTAGACAGATTCAGTGTAGTTCATCATTTTACCATTGTGTTTCACCTTAAACTTATAAATATGCCAATTTGTCTTCTATACACAAATTTAAAGCGATCGGATATAGACGTTAATTTGGAAGAAAAGGTAGCAAGATGCATTTCGGAGACATTGAATAGACCGTTTGAGGTAGGTGTTATTATTTAATTGGTTTAAAAATACATGTATAAATAACAACATAATCATCGTTGTAAAAAAGTGTCTTTTTAAGTTATGTAAATTGCAAGTAAAAGTCATGATGATATCAAATTCTTTGTTATGTCATTTTACATTCATACTGACTTACTCCTATCTGTATAACCACAACAATCATTATAATGGGGGTAGATAAAGAACGTTGAGCCCGGTTAGCATGGATGTATTAACTAGATTCAACATGGAAAAAAGTAAAATACTTACTCATCCTCTTTACTTTTTTATTTTCATTCCTCTTGAGCGATCGTCAGTTGTAAAAAATGTCACAAGTATGATTCATGATTCCAATATTTTAATGTAGAAATTTCTATTAATAAATTTCTAGTTAAGAAATTATTGCCATTACAAGTGGGAGGTTTCATTGTCAGTCATGAACGAATGCCATCAAAACGTGTCTAAGATTTTCATCACTTTTGTGTTATTGTTGCCGATTGCTCTCTTTTTTCTAAACATGTGTTCAGAAGTAAAACAGATTTAATTTCACGAAATCTGAATTCGACAGCTTTGCTGTACAAATTATATATAATAATTCATTTTAATTAATTTCGTAGTATAACAACAAAATTATACAAATCGGCAATTATAAAAGTCCAGTTCAATAGAAGCATATGTATCTTCACTTAGAACGAATGGATCAGCAGTTAATTAATATTTAAACAACGTATCCGGTTAGATCAAACGTCTATTTTTCTTTTAGATTATATTTACTCGCATCCCGTATTTTGTATAGTATAAACATGTACAAACAATGTATATTATAAAATAAACGTCTGTTTTTTTACATTGTAGCATGTATTCGTTACCCTAATTGCCGAGACACCATCGTTTTGTGCAGGATCACGTGAACCATCTATGGTATGCCAAGTGCAATCAAAAGAGGTCTTTGAAGATCCAAGCAAAATATCTGGATACTATCCGAAGTTTTTCGAGATTTTGAAACAGGCAACAAATATTCCGGGAAACAGGTTTGTTTTGTATAATTTGTATGAGACACTTGCATTTGTATTAAAATCTTCGGAAATATATATAAAAGGCATATCAGGCATTTATCTAATAAAATTGTATACAAGTCTCTGTATAAAACGATAGAATTATGTGTTTAAACCAATATTTATAACTAACAGAAAAATTATTTTGATTACTATTTTACAGAGATAGGGCTAAATATTTTGAAAATGACAAGTATTATCAACATATTATCTGACCTGGGGAGATAAGTCTGAAAAACGAATAAATCTTGACCTTAGAAGATGGAAAATCTGAACCAGATTTTATGAATTCAATGACATGTCTATCCCGAAGTACTTTTCTACTTGATCTCAGATATATCATGATTTTTTTTTCAGGATTGTATTAAGTTTCCAGCATGTACCAGACGCTTATGCTGACATAGGACAGTAACATTTACATAATATGGAAAGCAATATACAGTGTATTACGTGATGTTATATCTGGTGTTAATAAAAGTTTGATTTAAAGTTAATACGTAGACTTTGTTTTATATTGCAAAATGTCTTTCTTAATCAAATTCCCATTGACTTAACTGATATTAATACTATGTTTTAACTATCAAATGATGTACTTATTTAGAATGAAAATGTTGGTCTACATGTTAAACTGCATACTGGCACTTATTTTATTGGAAGAAAACGTTAGTTGTTACAAAGTGTAATACACGAAAGTGTCTAGTGCTTAAAAACAATACTGAGATCATTTATTTTGTCACATTCATCAGTCATATACTTTAAATAGTCAATTTATAATAAAATTGTTTCTTGGTGTAGGCATTGTGCGTGCTTGCTTTTATTGGTTAAACTTTCAACGTTAGTAAGACTGAAATTATTATCTTACTGTATGATAATTTGTTACCGTCTATAAACATTTTCAAAATGAAGATGGATGCGTCCTTGGTCTGTGACCTCAAACCACTTGCACCTTACCACTGTCGGTTCGATTCCCGACAGGAACTTTAAATTATTTCATATAAGGAAATTTGCGTTTGTTTTCTTAGCTTGAATAAATACCAGTTAAATAGGATATGTGAACTTCCGTTTCACATATACGTGATAAGGATTTTTGTTCAGTTTTTCT